TCCACAAGCATGCCGGTCACCCAAGCGTACCGGTCACTTTTGCCAAGACCACACCAAACTTCACTCTACTAACAATGCCTCAACGCAGCAACATGAAAAAGCTCTCTAATGAAGCAGACATACAGCTTGCTCTCCCGGCTATCCAACAAGACGCGACGCTCTCTCAGCGACGCGCTGCAGCAATCTACAACGTCTCTCAAAGCACGCTTAGTGACCGACTTGCTGGAGCCACCCCACGCTGCGACTACACACCTAATACTATGAATCTTACAAAGAATGAAGAGGAGGTAATTGTCCAGCACGTGTTGAGGCTAGACGAGCGAGGATACTCGCCCCAGCTTGCTGATGTAGACGATATGGCCAATTCTCTGCTTGCTGAGCGCCACCAGCCCTACGTTGGCAAGAACTAGGCTGCCAACTTTGTTAAACGTCAGTCAGAGCTCAAAGTCAAATTCAATCGCAAGTACGACTATAAGAGAGCTCTGTGTGAGGATCCTAAGGCGATTAGGGACTGGTTCTGACTAGTAGAGAATACCAAAGCTAAGTATGGTATACAAGATGAAGACACCCACAACTTTAACAAATCTAGCTTTATGATGGGCGTTATATCAACAGGAGCTGTTGTTACAGGCTCTGAGCGTCGAGGGAGACCAAAGGCAGTGTAGCAGGGCGACCGAGAGTGGACCAGCATTATCTAAGGCATCTGCGCGAAGGGCTGGTCTATCCCACCCTTCATTATCTTCTCTGGCAAGCACCACCTCTCTGCCTGTTACAAGGAGCCTAGTATACCTGACAACTGGGTTCTTAATGTCTCTGACAATGGCTGGACCAACAACAAGCTTGGAGTCAAGTGGTTGAAGCACTTTGATGAGCACACAAAGGCGCGCACTGTTGGCAGCTATTGGCTGCTCATTCTGGACGGCCACGAGAGCTACAACTCAGTCGAATTCCACCAGTACTGCGAGGAACACAGGATTATTACCCTGTGTATGCCTCCACACTTGTCGCACCTACTACAGCCACTTGACGTAGGCTGTTTTTCTCTGTTAAAGAAGGCCTATGGCCGCCAAGCTGAGCGGCTAATGCGCAGCAAGATTACGCGTATCACTAAACTTGAGTTCTTGCCGTGCTTCAAAGCAGCTTTTGACGCCTCAATTACAGAGAGTAACATCTAGGGAGGATTCAGAGGTGCTGGCCTAGTCCCACTTGACCCAGAGGCTGTGCTATTGAAGCTTGAAGTACGGCTGCGCACGCCAACACCACCTACTGTGGACAACAGTACGTGGGAGTCTAAAACACTAAGCAACACCCTAGAATTTAGGTCTTAATTAAAGCTGATTTGAGAGAGGATTCAGAGACACGCTAATAGCTTGCCAACGTCTATGGTTGACGCTCTTAATTAGCTCACTAAAGGCGCAGAGCTGATGGCGCATTCACTAGTTTTAGTGCGCAACCAGGTTGCTGACCTACAGGCGGCTAACAAGGCCGCCACACGTCGTAAATCACACAAAAGGAAGCAAGTACAGTGAGAAGGGACTCTAACCTTTGCTAAGGGAGTGCGACTGACTACTCTAAAGGAGTTTGAGGCCTGTAGTGATGGGAAGAAGGCAAAGAAGAGGTCACGTGTTGATGGGAGCACTCAGTCTTTAAGGCGCTGTGGCACATGTGGCGAGACAGGGCACAACAGAACAACTTGTAAGAAAGATGCGTAAAGTACTATATATTAGTACAATATACTGTGTAGCATAGTAGAATGCTGCTGTGTACTATAGTACTGCAAAGTAGTTATAGTGTTGGTGTGGTCTTGGCAAAAGTGACCGGTACACTTGGGTGACCGGCATGCTTGTGGAGTACGTTATACAGAAGCTAATAGTATCTATAAAAATCCTCCTTTATACCTAATTTATGTGTTGTTACATTAAGCCTAATAACAGCAGAGACTTAGGTAGGGTTGTTATTAAGCTTAGTGGCCTTAGTAGCAATAATTCTGGGCTTAGAGAGTCTAACTTAGGTAAGGGAGCGCTTGTAAGCAACTTCATTAAAGGGCTTTGTAAGACTGTTAGTAGCTATTATAGTTATGTAGACATGTTATACCTTAAGCTTACCTTACAGACTTGTTCTTTGTAGTAGTAATAGTAGATGTTAATGTGTTTCATATGCTTACAGTTACCCTCTAACTCTAGAAGCTTGATAAAAGGCTCGTTGTCGCTGTACAGCAGCACAGGGTGAGTATTGTCAGCAGTAGGCTGGCGGAATGGGTATACTCCAACGTCCTTCGTGGGTACCCCCCAAAACTTTGTCAATAATACATGGATTCTAGCGAACTAGGGCTTAAAAGAAAGAGAAAAACTATCTCTATATTTCTGTAGTAGAGGGTTTTGTTATAACTATTAAACTGCACAAGCTAGAGGCTAGAAAAGGTTAAAAAAGGGGGGGTACCTAGCAAGCATACCCATTAATAGGTATACTTTGCTAGGTAGTGTTAATAACTTAGCTAATACTAAGCAGAATAAGCTAATTCTTTTTTTATTAGAAGGCGCAATACTAGGCGCTTCTATCGAATAATAGATTATGTAAGCGTATCTCTGCTAACGTGTTCTATCAGTAAGCTGGCCACATCAGTATCCTGGCCACCCCACTAAAACGCGCTTTACTTGCCGTGCAACTGCTCTACAACCACATGGTCAAATTAAGTGAGGTTTTGAAGCAAGATAGATTAGATAGCTCTACATTGAGTCCTATTGTGACCTTGCACGTGGCATTTGCTACACGTTGGTGGTGCTCGCTGACGTCGTGGGGCAGCGTCAACCTGAGCGTCCTCTTCAACCACATTATTAGCCTGTGAGACTAGTAACTGAGCTTCCTCAACCTGTAGAGCTCCCCCACGTGATATATACTGTCTACGATTTTGACGCTTATGTTGCTGGCGTTGATTTGAGGCACGTAGCTTTGTATTCTCTTAAGCTAGGATTGTTGCTGATTGCATAGCAAGCTGACAACCCTTAACAAGCTGAGAGATAGCTTGACTAGTTGGACTCTGTGATTGACGCCTAAGGAGATCTTGTACAAGGCGGGCCTGCTTCTGCAATTGATCAATGGTATGTGGTGTCTCAGCTGTCCAGGCTGCTTCTATACCAGTAGCTGTCCCCAGTGGAGATGGTGTTCTGACTACAGTAAGGCATGTCAGGACACGCTCTGGACTGAATGGGATAAGTCCTGTTGCTTGAAACCCAGCCTTAATGTTGCTCTCTGATAGGGCAGTCTGCCTGATCCTTAAGTATATCCATAGGAAGTCATGCTTGTCCACATGGAAGATACTTTGGCGGGCAAGCTCAGACACCTCATGTCCATACAACATCTTAAGAGGAGAATAGCAGCCAACGTCAAGTGGCTGGAGGAGGTGTGACGTGTGAGGAGGCATACAGAGAGTGATAATCAGGTTGTCTGCACAGTACTGATTAAACTCAGGTGTAGCGTGGCTGCTGTGACCGTCAAGAATGAGTAGCCGACGAGCACCTGATGAGCGAGTCTGTGTGTGCCTGGTAAAGTGCTTTACCCAGTCAAGGCCTAGCTCATCTGTTGTCCAGCCGTTGTCACTAACAGCAACAGTCCAGTTAAGTGGGAGATCTTGATACCAGCTGGCCTGGTGGAGCTTCCCTGCCAGTATGAGGAAGGGTGGGATAGACCAACCTGACGCGTTGATACACTCAATTGTCGTCACCCACTCGCGATTGCCTGGCTGAACGACTGTAGCGCGACCAACTGTGTCAGAGCTGGTGACTACCTTTGACGTTGAAGCCACCCCCATCATGAACCCAGTCTCATCAAAGTTGTAGACGTCCTCATCAGGTATTCCATATGTGACGCGTGTCTCCTCTACCAGCCTGAACCACGCGCTAATCCTGACAGGATCTTCACAGCGTGCCCTCTGAGAGTGGAATTTCCTATTCCATTTTGTCTGAAGCTCTGGCTGGCGGTTGATGAAGCGTGACACCCAGCACTTGCCGATAGGTGGGGGAGGAGGATCTTGGCCGCGGCCAGCGAGTAGCGCGTCTGCCATACGTCGTACGTCAATGATCTGGGGTGGAAACCCGCGATGGTCAAGGTCTAAGATCCACTGAATAAGGGACTCCTCTTCGACAGGGCTAAGCTTTTGGTTGACATGCGTTGCCTCGTGTTTAGGGAGGATACCTTGAAGGCGCGTCTAAAGAGTTAATCGTGGGACATTGTAAGCCCTTGCAAGGGCACGGAGGGACTGAGAAGGTCTATTCTGAAAAGATACAATAGCAAGGTTTAATCTGCCTTCTTGAGAAGGCTGTACAGGTTGTTGGTGTGGTATCATGGCTAATGGGATAAGACGCGTTGAGCGCGTTTTAGTGGGGTGGCCAGGATACTGATGTGGCCAGCTTACTGATAGAACACGTTAGTTAAGAAGCTATAAGCCAAAACGTAAAAAAGCATACCCTACCCATCCGCCAGCCTAGTCAGCAGTGTAGCAAAGTTAGTGTAGCAGTTAAGTTAATTAGGTGGCTTCTTTAGTGGCGATTGGGAGAGCAACGTACTTAGCTTTCGTAGTAGAGGTAGTGACTAGTCACTGCTTTGCAGACTTGTGACACACTGTGCCTCTAGTAAGCTTAAAGAGGAAACCTAAAGTAGACTTATAATCCTTACTATTAGCAAACAAGGTGTTACTTTACGCGTAAGGGTTTAGGTTTGTAGGGTTACCTGTAGGAGCTTAAGTAGCAAACATAATAAATATAAGCTTACTGTTGCTAGAAGTAGCGTATGTTATAATGTAGGACTTAGTGGTGTTAAGATAGTTAATAACTTGCAACGCGTAGTTGTAGTAGCGTAGAGTTAAGTTGCTGGGTAGAGCAGCTTGCTGATGATAGTTTGGTAGCGCTGGAGCTCGCGGTTGCTGATCATGTTGTGGTTATCACGGCTCTTAAGGTTGAGGATGCTGATGTCAGTAGGAGCGTAACAAGGCAAGGCCTTCTTGCGACTATAGTCAGCGACAAGCTTGTTGATGTATGCCTCTATAGAGAGTTCAATAGGGCGCTTGCCGCGCTCGCAGCAGACACGGATGCCTAAGTAGTTAGTAGTAGGACCTAGGTCACAGCACTTATACTTGCTAAAGACTGCAGACTTCAACGCCTCTATTTGTGCGCAAGTCTAAGTAATAAGGATAATGTCATTAACATAAGTAAGGATGATTAAGCCCTTGCTATTGATAAAGATGCACTAGTCTGCTTTAATAGGATAGAAACTAATAGAGGCGAGGTAGCAAGAGAGCTCCTTATACTAGAGACGGGGGGAGCGACAGAGTCCATACAGCGCCTTATAGAGCTTTGCTAGTTCAACTGTTGCGGTATCAGGGCAAATGTATATGACGAGAGTATTGTGTTATTATGTTCGTATCTTTGCTCTCCAAGGCTCGCTGCGGGGTCTGTTTTGATGACGTCTTTGTGATGCAGCTGAGGTAAGAGGTGCTCAGCAACATGAGGAAGTAGCACCAGACCACCGCCAACAACACGTGATCTGCTTCTCCTCTCAACCGTCACATTTGTTAAACTTTTATGGCCTCTGTGCAGAGGTGCTGCAATTAGTCAAGATTAGGACCTCCTGACCAGGGGTACAGCTGGACAGACACCTCTCGGAGGAAGGCCGAGGCCGGCGAGCGCCGAGGCGCTACCATCGGGCCTAGCCCGTTACAGGTGAAGTTTGGTGGTGGCTTAGCAAATGTGACCAGCTTGCCTGGTGACTGGCTCGCCTGTGAGGTACGTTATCGGGTCATTGTTGGCAGCGCGTTGTCACACTAGACTAGTGTATGCTAACATAACCTATATTATGCTTATTAAGCAAAGAATTAGCTATATCAGCCACAGCAGCCAGCTAAGGGGGAAATCATCTTGCTGCTAGGTTAAGTATGACGTAGATTATCACCGAGCCAGCCATATTACTGAACTAGCCATTTTCTCTTAGCACAACTAACACAAGTACTGCAATTACAACTACTTGCTATTAAATAGTGACCTAGCATACTACGTGCTTGCCTTAGATTTAGAGGATGTTTCTGCACCCTCCTAGCAGATTTGTGAGTTATGTGTAGTCTTGCTACAGTTCCTACAGCGCTGAATAGTTAATTGAGCTCCTAGTTGACCACCTCCACCCTAAG